GTGTGTGTGCACAAGCTCCCAAGGCACAGACGTCCCCCGAGTCAGATTCAGCCCATCTAATGTCCAACGCTGGCATTTGCTGTGCCTGAGACTCAGTTTTCCCATCATCCCTAGGAGGAAGTTATTTTCCCCCTTTACAGATGAGGAAACTGAGGTGTACATGGGGTGTGTGTGTGTGTGTGGGTGGGTGGTGTGTGTGTGGGATGTACGCCATTGCCCAAAGTCACACACTGAATGGTCTCTTGGGGCCCAAAACCTTGCTCTGACCCCTCTGCTCAGCTGCCCCCAGAAACAAGCCTCGCATGCACTTGTCAAGTGGTAAGCCTTGTTCTAGAAACTTCCATGAGCCCCATCCCAGTGGCTGAACTTGGAGCTGGACCCCCAGGATGGAGCCACTGGGATGGCAGGCAGGCAGGGGCTGTGGTGCATGGGCCGCCCTGGCTAGAGTCAGGGCCCCGGCTTCTCCTTCCAGCCCTGTCACTCCATGGACCAGATGCCCTCAGTGAATCACTTGTCCCTCTGGCCTTCCTTCTGTCCACCCCGGGGGCCTCAGCTTCCTGTACTGGTGCCTCTTCCTTTGCTGAGGCCCCTGGTCTTCCCTGACAGTTTCACCTTCCCTGCCAACACCACCTTCCTGGCCTGCATCCTGGGCATGCCGTGCCTCTGGGCTTGGAACCCACCATGGCTGGTGAGGGGCTCCTGGTCAGGACCAGGCTGGCAGAGCTGAGATGCCCTCTCCTCTCTGCCTCTTCTTACATGAGATTCTAGGAATGAAAGGGCTGTCAGGCAGTAATGGGGCTCCAGCCTCGATCCTACACCTGCGGGTCTTCCTCTGAAACATGGGGGCTTCCGATAGCTCCCATGCAGGGCAGTGGCTGGATTCAGTGCATAACACACATCAATGCCTTGTCCCGTGCCAGGCATGGTCAGGTGGTCAGAGCTCTGCCCCTGCCGCACTGAGGAAACCTTAGGTTCTCAGTCTCCCCACCTGTATCTCCACCCTGTGCCGTGGGGCTGCAGAGTGTGGGAGAAGGGGCATGAATGCACTTTGCCGCAGGAGTCCCTAGCGGTTTGGAAGACTGGGATGAGCAGAAATGATGGACATTGCATTACAGGGCTGGGGGTGACCCAGCCTGGACGGCTCTGGGCTCCTCTCCTCCCTTTTCACCTCCTCTGCGCCTGGGTCCGTCTTGTCCAGCAGGTGGCAGCCTCGGCCCACGCTCAGCCCTCCCGTGCCCCGCCCACCTGGCCCCTTTCCGGCTCCAGCTCATTCCCCTCCCGGAGGGGCCAGAGATTTTTGCCTCCTGTAGTGGGTGGATGATGGGGTGTGGGTAGGATATAGGGTAAGGGGGCGGCCGGGCACTCCCTGCACACCCCATTTCTCTACCTTGGCCTCTGCGGCCGCTCATGCGGCCTCCACCCCTGGCATGTTCTTTGCGCGCCCTAACCCTCTGGGGTCCGGCAGCCCTGGTCCAACCCCAGGCCCCTACCCCCTTCTGGCTGTGAGTCCTTGAGTGGATGCCCCCTTTCTCTGAGCCTCAGCGTCCACATCAGTCTTCCTGGGATTCAATGCATCAATGGCTGTGGACTGCCCAGAACGTAGGTGCCTGAAGACCTGTCTCTTTCCCTGGCACCTCTTAAAACGCGTGTGATGTGGGTGGGCAAGGCACGGGGAGGGACGGGCAGAGCTGACCCCGGGAAGGAGCTGAGGGGCTGCGCTGAGACCGTGGAGGGTTCCCCTCTCCCTGGGCCCCCCTCACTTCTTCCCGACCCCCGCAAACCCTGTTGAGAGGGCAGGGGCAGTCCCAGGAGAGGGTCTTGTACTTTAGAGTTGGGTATTCAGGTTGTGCGCTCGAGGGTGTAAGGTCATCTGTGCGTCAGGCTGTGCATGGGAGGGATGGCCCCTGCGTTTCTGAGGATGGCCCTGTGAGAGTTCAAGTGTATGGGGGTCCGTGTGGGAGAGGACACAGGTATTCTGGGGCTCAAGCATGCCGGAGGGAGGAGGATGTATGCCCCTGGGTGTCAGGAGTGTGTTTGGGACACGAGTCTCAGGGGGTGTGAGTAAGAGAGGGAAAGATTTGATGGTTGATGGATGTTACTTGTATGTCTGAGGCAGGGGCCATGTGGTATGATGGCTGTGCCTCCCTGACTGAGCCTGTGGGTGTGAAGGTGTAGTAACTGGTGTGTGTGTGTGTGTGTGTGTGTGTGTTGCAAAGATAAACCCAGCTTCCTTTGAGAAACTGCATAGGACGTTGGACATTTTTGGGTCTGAACTCCTGGTCTCCTGATTTCTCCCACATTGGAGGGACAGGGTGGGGTTTGCTACTTTGTAGCAGCTTCCAGACAGACAAGTAGGGCCCTGGAATGCACTGTGAGCATTCAAGACTCTCCCAGCCCCCTGCCCGGGCAGGAGGTCCAGCAGGCAGCAGAGGCAGCAGCCTGGCCCCCACACCTTGCTAAGGGGAAGCCCAGGGCTGGACTCAGGAAACCTGGCTCCAGGAAGGACTGCTGAGTGCCCTTGGGCCAACTGCTTCCCCTCTCTGATTCCTGCCCCTTCCTTCCCAATACAGGTTGGAAAAGCACCTGTGTGATGTGTGCTTCACAGAAGACGGGGAGGCTGGTGAGGGTAGTGGTTAAACACAGGCTTGGGCATCAGTAAGACTTGGGTTCAAATCCCAACTCCTCCCCATCCCACCTTGTCCTTTTTTTTTTTTTTTTTTTTTTTGAGAGATGAGTCTCACTCTGTCACCCAGGCTGGAGTGCGTGGTGCAATCTCAGCTCACTGTAACCTCCACCTCCTGGATTCAAGTGATTCTCCTGCCTCAGCTCTCCAAGTAGCTGGGACTACAGGCATGCACCACTGCACCCAGCGAATTTTTGTATTTTTAGGAGAGATGGGGCTTCACTGTATGTTGGCCAGGCTGCTCTGTAACTCCCGACCTCAGGTGATCTGCCCGCCTTGTTCTCCCGAAGTGTTGGGATTACAGGCGTGAGCCACCATGCCCGGCCCCCAGCTCCTCCCCTTTGATGCTGATTTGCCGATTTATGCCCGCTCCTCACAGCCTCGGTTTCATCATCTGCAGTGCAGGGCCATCACACCACATAGAGAGCTTGGTGATAACGATTGAACAAAATATAACAACAGCAAAACGTCCATAGCCCTTTTTATGACCCAAGCAGTCCTCTACAGTTTTCATATTGCATCATTGAACCCTCCCAATGACCCTCTGAGGTAGGTGCTATCATCAGCCCCACTTAGCAGATAGGGAAACGGGTCTCAGAGCTTGGATAACATGCACATGATTAGACAGCTAAGAAGCGGTGGCATCAGGATTCGAACCCAGGCCAACGAGGCTGCTAGGACCTGCTAAACATATCACCTGAAATGCTAGCGATGGGCCAGGTGTGGTGGCTCACGCCTGTAATCTCAACACTTTGGGAGGCCAAGGCAGGCGGATCCCTTGAGGTCAGGAGTTCGAGACCAACCTGGCCAACATGGTGAAACCCCTTCTCTGCTAAAAATGCAAAAAATTAGCCAGGTGTGGTGGTGGGTGCCTGTAATCCCAGCTACTCAGGAGGCTGAGGCAGGAGAATTGCTTGAACCTGGGAGGCGGAGGTTGCAGTGAGCAGAGATTGTCCCATCACACTCCAGTCTGGGTGACAAGAGTGAAACTCTGTCTCTGAAACTCTGTCTCAAAAAAAAAACTAAGCACGGGCCTGCCTCTTAAGCACTCGATTGCTGTCATTCTTTGTCCTCTCTCTTAATGAGTAGCAACTGAAGCTCAAGTCCAGCAGACACAGACACAGATGTTTATTCCAGAAAGAGTTCTAAGAAATGAGCTTCTTAGAGCCCGTGTCATGGGGCAGCAAGTCCTGGGGCTCTCAGAGCCAGCCCCCTCCCTTCAGCAGCTAAAGCAACAGCACCCCCATTTTACAGAGCAGAGCATGGAAGCCAGAGCGGTGGCGGGGTGTGGGGGGGTGGTCCTTCCCCGGCTCAGGCAGACGGGAAGATGAGGAAGCCGCTGAAGACGCTGTCAGCCTCGGAGCCCTGGTAAATGCGGCCCTTACTGGGATCTTTTTCGACCCAGACCTGGTCACCCTGCTGCAGATGAAGCACCGTGCCCCCCGACACCACCTGGAAGATCCCCTTGCTGTTGGCGTCACAGAAGCCCAGGGAGCGTCGGACCTGGCCCCTGGAGGAGGATACGATGAACAGGCAGATGTCCCACTTGGACACCACCTGGAAGGTGAAGTAATAGTAGCCGGGCACAGCACAGACGAAGCGGCCCGAGTTGTTCTGGTACGGGCCCTCCTGGTTGGTGAGGACCTTGTCGAAGATGACCACGTTGCCTCCCATCGGTGGGTTCCACCTAATGGCCGAGAAGGCCGGCCGCGGCTGGTCTCTGATGTTTCCTGGATTGCCCTTGATGCCTTTAATTCCCTGCATGCCGCGGGTCCCGAGGGGGCCGCTGGGCCCTGGGTAGCCCACCTTGCCGGGGTTTCCAGGGGGCCCGGGTTCTCCCTGGTCTCCTTTAAGGCCTCGGATGCCTGTCCGGATGCCAGGGGCCCCTGTGGGGAGAGATGTCAGACTGGGAGTGAGAGTCCAAAGCCTACCAGTCCTTAGGGAGAGAACTGGACCCCCTGAATCTATGGGATAAAGGGCCAGGAAGTACCTGGGCCTTCAGGACATTGGCTCTGACTGGCTGTGTGACTTAGGGCAAGTGTCTCAACCTCTCTGAGCCTCCCCTTCATCTGTAAAGTGGAGAGGGGTGTGAACAGGCACTTGGGAAAGTGTCAGGTTCTGGGAAATTCGTGGTGCTCTGGCTGCTCTGCCATGCTCCTGCTCAAGGCTGGGCCCTCCACCTGCCTCCAAGGCACTGACCTTGACTTTTGCAGGTTCAGGTATCCCACGTAGGATGCCTGGATGCAAATTATTGCAAATGTCTATGTGATCCATCCAGTCTGCTTTGGACTAGGAGGCTCCGGGGGATTTCATGAGACTCCCTTTCTGCTCTGATCAGGACCTCCTCCTTTTTCCATCACCCCCTGCCTTTCTTCTAGAATGTGAGAGTTTCTGAAGCCTAAAGGGCTGGGGAGGGGGAAGCCCTAACAGCGCCAAGGGTGCCAGAAGGCAGTTGCAGTTATTTGGTCCCTCTGTATGTGCCGTGCGGGGTTAGTTCTCCAGCTTACACATGAGGCTGCTTAAGCTCAGAGAGGGCTGATAACTTGCTTGAGGTCACACAGCAAGGCAGGGGCCGCTGAGTCTAAACTCTGGGTCCTCATTATGCTGGTGAGAAAACCGTGAACCAGGACTCATCATTGCTGCTGGAACTTTCACATTCACTGCTCAAAGCAAGTCATTCTCCAGTGGGGGGAAGGTGGACCCAGGCCGTCAACGGGGAGTGGAGAGGCTGGGGACATGGCCTGGGGAGAAGGCTGGGCCTCCCTTAGTGCCTGGGGCCAAGTGCAAACTGGAGAGGATTCATAGGGCGTTGGGGGCAGACGGACTCCTGATTCTCAGTGCCATCCCCAAGCCTTCGTCCTGGAGGCCAGGCCAGGCTGAGGTCGGAGGGGCTGGGTCCCCAGGGTGTTGCTTACCCGGCTCCCCTTGCTCCCCCTTGAGGCCTGGCCGCCCCGGTCTGCCGGGTCTTCCTGCCACCCCGTCCTTCCCGTTTGGTGCTCGGCACACATCCTGGGTCACCGTAGAGGCCAGCGACAAGGCCAGCACACAGACCACCAGCCAGCCCCAGGGCCCCTCCATGATGCCCCTGTGGAGACACAGTGGGGGGGGGGATCCTGGGCAGGCTGGACGTCACATACTCACACTCAGCTCACACCCTTGGGTCCCATGCACACCATGATGTATGCACACACACCCCCCCCCCCAGTGCACACGCACCCTCCAGGGCTCTCAGCGTCCGCTCTCAATCCAGCTCCAGGGACCCCACACATATACACAGAACCACAAACTCACACACACACACAACCGAGCACACCCACCTCATCACACACTCACAAACAGACACAGCGTCTCACCCACACACCTACAAAACACGGTATGGAAACTCAAAAATCCACCACACACCCCTAGACACACAACTGATACCCAAATAGACTCTCCCTCACTCTCACCGACACACACATTCATACACCCCCACAGGTGATCGATTTCATTGAACAAATATGTATTGAGCGCCTGTTCCTTATTTAATGAACACTCGCTCACCCAGATGGTGGAGCTGTGCATACACACAGGAATTCACAAACACCCAGCACGACACCTGCTCACTCTTCCGCACGCTCAGCGCCTTTCAGCATTTACCCGAGAATGGCTGGTTGGCTGCCCCCACTGTCCCCTCTGCTGGGTCCCACTGCCAGCTCTAGCACCCCAGCCTTTTCCCAGTTTCTTAGGTGTTTTGGGGCCAGACCCAGGAACCCTGGTCTTACCCATTAGTTGTTGAGTCTAACTCACCGCCTCACACCCTCCTCCAAGCTCTGGCTCTAGGAGTTAAGATCCCTCCACTCTCCCATTCTGGGTGGATCAGTGCCGCACCCCCATCCCTGTCCTGCCGCAGAATCAGCCACTCTTATTTCCCTCCCTCCCTGCCTCAGTTTTCCAGCCTCCTGGGCCAGCTCCCCTGGGTCCCGGAACTCCATAGCCCCCTCCCTCTGGGACTCTGGCCTCACCTGCCTCCCGTCGTCAACTTCAACTGGATGTTCCTGCCCTCTGCGCAGGGCCCCTGTGGGCTGCCCAGCAGGAGTGGCGCCAGGCTGTGGCCAAGTTTCACATCCCTTCCCACTTCCCCTTCTCCAGACCTGCCCTCTGAACTTCCCCAGGGCCCAGAAGTTCACCAGGGACATTTCGAGCAGCCTTCAGCAAGACAGGAACATTGGGTGTCCTGCCACAGCAACAGCTGGTGTGGGGGTGGGGGCAGTGAGGCCAGCGTCTGTGAGGATGTGGGGCGGAGGCCGTGCAGGGCAAGGCTCTGAGAACCAGGGAAGCACAGAACACCAGAACGGAAGGAATCTTTAAAAAAATCTGTCCCTTGTAGGACTTTTCATGATTATGAAACTGACATGCAACTCATTGCCAAAAGCTTGGAAAATACAAAGAAGAAAGAGCAGTGCATTGGTGAGAAGGAAGCACAGCGATCTGTTTCTAGACTTGCTGCTTCCCAGTTGCATGTCTTTGGAAATTACTTGACCTCCTGATCCCTCAGTTTTACCTGTACATTGGGAATGAGGTTCTACCTCATCTGATTATGATAGGTGAACACTTAATCGTTAGCTTTTACCAACATTTAGAAAAAGAACAAGTCTTGGTGCTGGGGCTCATACCTGTAATCCCAGGACTTTGGGAAGCTAAGGCAGGTGGATCACTTGAGGTCAGGAGTTCAAGACCAGCCTGGCCAATATGGTAAAACTCCATCTATTCTAAAATTTTTAAAATAGCCAGGTGTGGTAGCATACACCTGTGTAGTCCCAGCTATTTGGGAAGCTGAGCTGGGAGGATCGCTTGAGCCCAGGAGGTTGAGGCTGCAGTGAGCTGTGATCTTACCATGCACTCCTGCCTGGAAGGCAGAACAAGACTCCATCGCAAAAAAGCAAAACAGACGGCAGCAGCGGGCCGTCAGGAATGCGTGCTGCCATCACACCTGCTGCAGCAGGGAGCCACGGCCAGGGCTGCATGCTCCATGTAGTCAGTGGGAGCTGGGGACAGTGGGAACCCCGCCCTCCTGGGCACCTGCTGCAGCTGCACAAACCATAGCTGAAGACCCAGGCTTCCTGCTCCACAGAGCAGGTGGGGGCCCCGCTGCCCCCCATGCAGCTGTAGCCACCTAAACTGCAGCTATGGGCCCAGGCATCCCTGCACTCTTGGGGGCCTGGGAAGGTCCCCTCCCCCTGCCCTTGCAGGCTCAGAAGTGCCTGCCTGGCTTCTCCCTGCTCTTGGCACCCACTCCAATCTCGAAGCAAAGTTGGGGCTGAGCCTGGGCACTGCTGCAGCCCGGGGTGTGTGCATGCTTGGGGCAGTGCCAACATGCTGGCCCCCTGCTGCCTCAGTCCCCTCTGGACTTTGGGCATTGACTGTCATGGGAGGGAAGCCAATGGGGCACTGAGGGCAGCTTGGCACTGGCCTGCAGGCACACCTTGGCATGAGCATCCTGGGCACCATGAATAGCAGCTGGAGTCAGACAGGCTCCTGGGTGAAAGGGGGTGGGTCCCTGATAAGGCCCCACCTTCAGGCCAGGGAGGGTCTGAAGTCTGGGGGCCAGGCTGCCTGGCCCAGGGACTGGTGTGGGAATTTGTGGTGTCTTTTCTGGGCCTGCCCGTGGCCACCCATGGACCAGTCAGCACGCACCTCCTCCCCTCTGAGGCCCATGAAAGCTCCAGGCTCAGCCAGAGCTGGGCAGACCTAGGGATGACCAGCTGCCGAGAGGAGCTACCCACTCCAGGGTCTCCTCTCTGCTAGGAGCCGAACCCTCGTCAGGACACCCGGCTGCAGACAGGAGCTGACCCCTGTGAGAGGCTGAGCTGTTCTACTGCTCAATAAAGCTCCTCTTCCTCTTGTTCACCCTCCACTTGTCCACGTACCTCATTCTTTCTGGTCACAGGATAAGAACATGGGAGCTGTCGAATGGTGGGGCTAAAATGGCTATAACACAAAGAGGACTGAAACATGCCCCTTGCTTGCCATGCTGTGGGTGAAGAGAAAGTAAGGAGAGCTGTAGCCCTTTGGGGAACCCAGACCTGGGAACTCCTCAAGCCAGGGCTATGCCTCCCATTTTGGGGCCCTGTGGTTTTTGGTGTCTGCAAGCTTCCAGGTGCTGCCATGTTCCCCAGTGCTGCCCGTGGAAGCTGCTTGTGGTGTACCTGGTCCAGCCGCAGCCTCGCAGAGAACCGGCACCTGTGCTGGCACCTGGAGCTGCTCACCCGTGCCAGCAGCTGGCATGTCTGACTGTGTGCAGCGGCTAGACCCCACGCTCACCCATGTACCTCTCACGGTTCCATGCCTGACTTGTCATGGGCAAATGTGGGACCCAGGCTGGAAATGTGAGCTGAGTGCAGCCTGCAAGGCAGAGCGGGGTGAAAGAAGCCCAGTGGGCCGAGCCAAACTTGGGCAAAGGTGCCACCAGCCACAGAGGTTTCCCATCAGAAAAATGACACCCCGAAGATCCTGTAATACCATCGCAAAACAACAAAACAACAACAAACCCAGCAACAAAAGCCTGTGAGTTCCACCATCTAGAGATAATTGCTGCTAACGTTTGAATGGGCCATCTAGCCTTACTCAACTTAACTGACGGGTGCCCATTACCTGTCAGCACACACACCGCATCATTGTCAGCTTGGACCCTGAGAATGCTTTTCTTTAGATGGGGGGCTCTGTCTCTCCAAGACCGGAGGCCAATGTGTTCAAGCCTGGGCTGACCACATCTGTCCGCTTCTTCTCATCAGCATGTTTTTGTTTGTTAGTTAGTTAGTTTTCTGAGAATGTTGCCAGAGGCAGGAGGAGGAAAAGAGGAGGAGGAGAGAAGCTATGAGGGAAGGCTATTGTAACTGGGCAGAGGGAGGGTGGTCCAGAGCCAGGTTTTTCATGCTGTAGGGGCTTCTTTTTCATTTGAAATCTTGTGTGGCATCTGAAGTATGTCAAACAGATAAAAATGGGGATGCTGGGTTGAAGGGCGGGGCCCAGAGCGCCTCCTGACAGCCCCTGCCATGCTCCCTGGATTCAGAAAGTTTGTAGAGCTGGAATCTCACCTGTTCAACCCATACCTAACTCACAGCGTGACCTTGGGCAAGTTCTCTCATCTTTCTGAACCACACTTTCTCCATCTACCAAGATGAGAGAGTGGGTGGGAGGCGGGAAGGCTGCCCCAAAATGGTCTTTAACATCCCTTTCAGCATCCCTCTTCTTCTTCTTCTTTTTGAGATAAAGTCTCACTGTGTTGCCCAGGCTGGAGTGCAGTGATGTGATCTCAGCTCACTGCAACCTCCACCTCCCAGGTTCAAGCGATTCTCTGCCTCAGCCTCCTGAGTAGCTGGGATTACAGGTGCGTGCCACCATGACTGACTAATTTTTGTATTTTTAGTAGAGATGGGGTTTCACCATGTTGGCCAGGCTGGTCTCGAACTCCTGACCTCGGCCTCCCAAAGTGTTGGGATTACAGGCGTGAGCCACTGCCCCCAGCCAAAGTCTAGTTTTCCAAATATCGAATACCCAGTTTTTATAGAAATACAGTGTGAGAATACGTCAGTGTCTTCCTGTACGTTGTTAATGCAGGAACCAGCTAGGTGACAAAGCCAGTTCAATGGATATGAAAAAATATGTATACCTATATGTGGAGAGAGAGTTAGTTAAAACAACAAGAATTCTGGAACATTCATAAGATTGCTAAATTAGATACAAAACCGGTTAATGTTCTATGGGGCAATATGATCATGATGTGGGGCATATCTTCTCTGTTGAAAGAAATCATTTGCATCTCTACCAGACGAAAATAATTTGCAACTTATCAGTTTTCTACCAGTTAACAGCTATCTTTACCGAATCTGGGCTCTAATCAATAGTAAATAATAAGTCAAGCCAAGTGACATTCCCCTAGAGTGTCAGATGACCCTTAGGAGGGCTTGTTAGATACAGCTCTCATTTGACTTTGAAAGGACACTTGTTATCTATCTGCCTTATTTCCAAGCCTTGGATGATTTTACTTATCAGGCTGTTGCAAGAGTATAAACACTTCCCAAGAAATAAAAGACATCGATAGTAATGCACATATCATTAGTGTGAGAAGTAGAAGGGTCAGCAACGGCCCTGTGAATGTCACAACAGGGACACATTTAGGCAGACAGGAAGGGCGTATTCTTCCATTTCTCCAGAGCCCAGACTCCTAGAAGGGAGGTAGGAGGTGTGGGGAAGAGAGGAAATTCCTAGCCATTCTTGCACTGTCACACTGAGGTTCAGTCTCAGAACGGGGTCACGGGTCAAATAAATAACCAAAAAATAATTTTTAAATGACTCGAATTCTTTACGGCAGAGTCACATCTCATTTAAGGGTTGGGTTGCAAAATTGGCACGTAAGGCAAATGTTGTAAATAGCGGTTGTGACCATTGGAAAAATATCTTCAGACAGCACCACATGAAAGACTGTATTACCGTTTCACAGTAGTCATTTTTTTTTTTTTTGAGACAGAGTTTCACTCTTGTTGCCCAAGCTGGAGTGCAATGGCACGATCTTGGCTCACTGCAACCTCTGCCTCCCTGGTTCAGGCAATTCTCCTGCCTCAGCCGCCTGAGCTCCCAAGTAGCTGGGACTACAGGTGTGCACCACCACACCCAGCTAGGTTTGTTTTCTTTTGTTTTGTTTTTAGTAGAAACAGGGTTTCACTATGTTAGCCAGGCTGGTCTCGAACTCCTGATCTTAAATGATCCACCCGCCTCGGCCTCCGAAAGTACAGGGATTATAAGTGTGAGCCACCACGCCTGGTCCACAATAGTCTTATGCTGTCCAAAGATATTTTTCCAACAGTAATACTCACCATTTACAACGTTTGCCTCGTGTGCCAATTTTGCAACCCAAACTTTAAATGAGATGT